ATCCCTGTGATAGTATCCGGATGCCACTCGAATTAAGACTGAATTTGGGAGAGGTAAGATTTATTTTGCGGTGCGATAAGCTCCTTTGTCAGAAGCTTTGCTTACTGGGGCATGCCAATATTTTATAATAGTGTGGTGCTCTAGATGTTGTTCAATTGCAAGGTGCCAAAAACTTCTTCAGTGGACTCTCCCAGATTGGTCTAATGAAGCATGACTTTAGGTAGTATAGTTTTTGGATTTTACTGGTTGTTGTTACCTCTGTGTCCACTTGTTCCATTCTTTTTGGGGGCTTTTTGCAGCAATTTTTGGATCTGCACAAGGATTCTTCCAAAAGTTGTTATTGCTTTTTTTTAAAAAAAATAGGACATGTGATCCTATTGAAGAACAGATTTTTCTCCTGATTTGTTATTTTTTAGAGTTGTAGTGATATGGCACAAAAGTGCCATTTTACTAATCCACTGTAATTATAATACTTAAAAAAAAACAGAGAGAGAAATTGATCCTTTTTTGTTTTGGAATTAAAAACAACAAGAACACTTGAGGGTGGGAATGAAATTTTGCAGCTGGTACTTGGAATGGCTGGAAGATGATCCAAGAGAAGTGAAAAGTCATTCAGATATTTTTAAAAACCTCCAAGATCTATAGCAAAAAAATATTGCAACCTCCTGCTACATTTGTCTTGTCTTGAGGATCCCATTGTTATATCTGAGAGTGTTGCGGAAAGGTTGAAGAGATGTTTTCCAGCTTTCACATTCAAGTCACAAAGGTCTAACTACTTCTAGATGCTTGAAGCTGTTGTGGTTGTGGCTTCTGCATACAAGTATGGCCCTGTCATCAGACTGATTGTTATTCATGTTCAGGTGAACACATGGGCATGACTACAGTGTATAATATATCCTGATAAGCAGGATAAACATGCAATAGCAGAAATGAATTTATCCCATTCTTTATGTGGAGGAGCAGGGCTTGGTGATTGCCATTACTAATAAAGCTAATGATTCTTGTGTTTTATTGGTTATAATTTAAACTCTTTTTTATTTTTAAACTGGGTATTTTAAATTTTATGTTATGTGTCTTGAAACTCTTTGTGGTGGAAAAAGAAGGAACATACAGGTAATAAATTTTATAGTATAAATTAGGAATATCCTGCCATATATTTGTCAAGGAGAGATAGAAATTAAATAAATACAAGAGTGGCTGAAGAAAGTGACTTCACTGCACTCACATAATGTCAAATTTGGTTGGTTCAATTATTCATCATGATACTGAGTTGGGCTTGTTTCATATTAAGTTTGTAATCCTTTGAATCTGTCATTTAACAACACTAGGATATACTGAGAAATGTACAACATATTTTTAAAGGCATTGCTTCTTAATATACAAGGTTTTTATTAAATCATTACACTTGGAAATGCATTGAGGTGTGTGCTTAACTGATTCTCTGAGTGAACAACACTTCAACTATGTGCACCTGGGTCCATTTGTATAATAGTTCAGTTCTTTTTGTTCAGATAAATGCAGGTGCCTTTACAAATAGGCTGTACTAACTCTTTGTTTAGCTTTCAGTTAAGAAGCAAGGACTCACCAAACACTTACGGCATTGCTATGTCACTCGCTATGGAATTTTCCAGAGAATGAAACTTGATGGAAAATCTTACCCTACCAACTGAAATGAACTGGACTGCAGTGCAACCAACACTAACCCACACTCCTCCAAATTAAACAAATATTAAATGCTATATTCTGCCATCAATAATCTGTGGCAAAATAGTGGCCTGCACAAATTTTGCAAATTGAAAAACAATGCAAACAATTCATCTTATATTGCATAATAATACTTTTATGATCTATCCTGACTTCGCTTATCTGATGAAAGTGGGCAAAGAACTCTTCTATCTGTGCAAAGCCCACTTTCAACCACTAGAAATATATGCACCACTTCTTTTGGTTTATGCAGTGTCATTTTGTATCATTCAGGCCACCTGCACCTCAAATGAAAATCAAAGGTCCAGAAAACCCAATATAAAACTGATTGCACACCATTCATTCAGCATCACAATGCCAACAGCACAACAACTCTAGCTGGGGAACACCACTTGACCAACAACACCACAGTCTTGTCTTGACTGAGCCTTAGTGTATTGGCCCTCACCCAGCCCTCTCAGCCTGGAGCACAAGGGCATAAGAGAAGCCACATTGCATGTGAACTGGGATCAGACCAAAAGCCTATCTAGTCCAGCATTCTGTTAAAAAAAGTAGGCAAATGGATGCCTATAGGCAGTCCATCAGCAGAACATGAGTGCAGCCATACCATCTGTCTCATGTTTCTCACTGTTCTCCACTTCAAAATGTCTAATGAGCCCACTCAGCAGTTTCATCTAGATGTTAAATGGCATGAGGGTATGTTGGACAACTAATAAATATGTGTCAGTCAGGGCATGACTTGCTAATAAGACTGTCCAGACCTTTGGGGGGAACCTGGACAACTTCCAGAATTGCCCAGCTAGATTTGCAAGCTTAAAAAGTAACCTTTTCAATTTTGGCCGTCTGCCCCACCCCATGTGTTCAGTCATACTGAAAGTTTTCAGTGAACATAGAGGCTGAGTTAGCAGTAGTACACATGAGATGGTACTCTTAGAAACAGTCATGTAAATATACAAGGCAAACATTGTGACTGTTAAGAACCAAGGATGCTATAAACTATATTAATTTTCTCAGACTATGCCCTTCAAGCTGTCCACACGAACTGCCCATTTTTTCCTCTTGGCTTCCATTCACCTGGACCATATTCATGTGCCAGCTGGTATTTTCCCTGCATTTCACTTAGTGAAGATAAACTAGCACACTATGCCCTCTGTCTATTTTTGCACAAATATTCTTCAGTACAAAACAAACACACAGAACTGATGATCATACTTGTTGAGATGGGGCTTGCTCATGCCAAGAGTTATTTAAGGAAACATAGATCGTTATCCACATTTCAACTATGGATCTATTTACAATTTTTTAAATGGCAAATTAATGTTTCTACAAATTTTTATTAAAGGAAGTTAGTTATTTTACTGAATGTCACTACATTTTACTAAGGAGGAGGTCTCTCCACAAATATGAACTCTACCTCCAGTGCTAAAAAGGTTTTGAACAATAAGCTATGTTTATAATTTCAAGTATTTGCTCTTAAGTAGTATGATCAGTTGCATGATTAATTTCCAAACTGTATAGCAGAAGGTGCTCTAACACAGAAGGTGCTCTAAAATTCAGGAAAATATGTGTCCTCCGTGTGTGCCTCTGATCTGAATAAAGAGGAGGGTTTTATGGATGGGAAAGATGTGCCTCAGCTTAAAGAAGATTGCAAAAACACCAACATAACATTTAATATAGTGTGTGTGTGTGTGGGGGGGTCTACTTCTTGTATTACAATCATATGTATTCCAGTATATTCTTGGTCTATGAGGTTTACAATTGCAGGCTTGTTTCCAATAAGCCAGAATGCTTCATCTCACATAATCTCTCCCCCATCCCTTGATTTCACAGTTTGCCTACACATTTTTTATTAATTATCGAATCTGCATGATGCAGGACATTGTTTGGACACCTCACAGCTTGTATCCTCCTCTTCCAATTAAATCTGATTCTTCACTGAATATGTATCATTGGATTTGTAAATGATAAAGTGTTCCCTACAAGTGCTAATAAATCCTTTATACAACAGAGAGGGGGTGAAAATTGCAGACGATAAAATCAAGTTCAAATTAACTCTTTATAAATGTGATATGAACCCACTGATCACCTGAAATGTCTGAAAGCTAAATAAAATAGCACAAAACCAGACAACAGTTTTTTTAAAAATTGGCCTTATAAGGTAACATCATACAGTTCCATTTAATAATGGGAAAACACTGAAGCAATAAAGTCAAATTATATATAAAAAAAACCCCAACCAATAGCAAAATGTGGGTGCCCTGAAGAAGAAAAATGAGGTATATAATAGGCATTAATCCACTATTTTGATGATTAAGATTCTGATTATAAAATCAAGTTCAGCTTAACTCTTTATAAATGAGAGATGAACCCACTGATCATCTGAAATGTCTAAAAGCTAAGCAATATAGTACAAAACTATAGTTTTGACCTTTTACAATGACCCTCTTTTTTTCTTTTATCCATTTTCTTCCATAAAAACAAAAACAAAAAACCAGAACAAATACTACCCACCCACATATTGTTGGCTGCAACTGAAATTATATTCTAATCTTATATTCTAATTTTACTTTGAGATGCCAAGAGTACTGAGAATCCCATCTCTTTATTGAGCAGTGGAACAAGGAAAAACTGGGATGGAAAGAGATAGATCAGCTACAAAGGAGCAGAGAGCTCCCATACTCTCATTTTGTAGAAGAAACAATTTCAGGAGATACAGGCCATGCCCAGTGTGACAAACTGTGGCCTCTCTTCTTGAGATGCTTTCTTCTTAAAATGCTCTCCACCATTCCCTCTCACGAGATGCTCTTTTCTTTGGACATAATGTTCCTATGGGATCAAGGGCAGAGCATATGTATGGCTGCCAAATGAACTCATGGCAATTGGCATTGGTTTTGCCACAGGCCAAGGCCTTCCTCCCCAATGTGAACACCAGCTGAGGCTTCAGGAGAGACTTTCCTTTATTATGCATTTTATTATGCATTCCTATGTCTTGGAGTCTCTTGCATGCATAAGAGTCTCTTGCATGCATAAGAGGAGACATCTAACTTAAATATTCAAAGTTGAGAAAAAGTTAAAAGAGTCCTTTACTAGGGAGAAGCTGCCTGATATAATTGGGACAATGGAATCATTGTTGTTTGTTGTTGTTGTGTGCTTTCAAGTCATTTCTGACTTGCAGCGACCCTAAGGCAACCCTATCATAAGGTTTTCTTGGCAAGTTTCTTCAGAGGGGATTTGCCATTGCCATCCTCTGAGTCTGAGAGTATGTGACTGGCTCAAGGTCACTCAGCAGGTTTCCATGGCCAACCTGGGATTTGAACCCTGGTCCCCTAGTGTCCTAGTCCAACGCTCAAACCACTACACCACATTAGCCCTCATGCTAGGAGGTTGTTGTTGTTTTTAAAGTCTGTGGCAGCAAGACTGGATCCTTCAACTGGTAATGGACTATTCCTAGGATACTCTGTTTTTGATGACAGAACAATTCTGGATGTAACATCAATTTTCACCTGATGCACCAAACACACAGCAGTAAAAGCCACCACAAAATATTCCACACTGGCAATGTTTCTTCAAATTCTATCTACTAAAGAATTCTTTTGATAGAACTGTGAAATACCTCCTCCAGTCTCCAATCCAATGCAAAAGATACTTTGCCTATAGCGATGATAAATAAAAATGAATTAATAGGAAAAGGCAGGCGTTAACTTGCTTGGGAATACCCAACTGAATATCAAAAAACACTAATGCTTCAAACAAATTGAAGAAGAGGACGCTTCAGTAAAATGAGCTGCTGACTGATTCTGACTAAAACTCAAAGGTAAAATGTGATGAGATGAAGAGAAAGAGAAAAAGAAAGAGAAAGAGAGAATTCATAGGTATATAGATTAACCACCCTGACTTTTAGAGTATAGATTTTCTGGAACAAATTTTGAATTGGGAGATTAACAATCCATTTTCCAGAGCATATGCAATACGTTGCTTAGCTATGCAATATAGAACATAATTAGTTAATTCAAATGTTTGAGGGAGAGCATGTGGTACAGCTCCTTGGCAGTAGTACACCACATCACAATGCATATGGGAGAGAACTGGTTAGAAAATGCCCCCATTTCAAACTCTTCCTGCACGTATGTTGCTGTTCTTGATGATAATGGCGAGCATTTGATTAATTTTATGTGTGTTTTCTTTGCACCTCTCCCAGGTTCTCTTCAAATTGTTGCCAAAATTCAGCAGGAAATTGTGTGACTAAAATTCAGCACTACTGAAATTCAATGGAAGAATGCTTGCTCTAAGGACGTTTCACACTTGTCCTCCTAAAGCCGGGTGGAGCCATTCCGGAACGGGTCGTGCCGCCGATTCCGGAATGGCTCCGCCGCCGAAAGGCTAATTCCTGTTGACAGCCGGAATTACCTGAAGCCGGAGTTAGCCGGAGTTATCATTGTTTCGTCCGGAGTGACGCCGGACTTAGGGCTCCGTGTGTCTGAACACACGGAGTGAAAAGCCGGCTGGACGCAGGGATGACACCGGAAGGGGCGGGGTTTGCCGCCGCGCGTGTGTGAACACACGGAAAATGGAGCCGGAGTGAGGCCGGCGGGAGGCCGGCTAGCGTCCTCCTTTTGCCCCGTGTGAAAACGTCCTAAGAGATTCCTACACCTTGTCCTGAATTTCAGCGGCATCCAAGAGGGAAGACACCTTAAAAACATATATATCCTGCTTGTTTTAATGACCTTGTGTGTATGTTTGTTTTTGTTCCTCAGTTTCGAAGGCACAACAATGGAGGTTGCAATGTACATTGTCCTAAGAAGAAAGAGCAGAGAGGCTATAAGGTTCACTCTGGGAAATGACGAGATAAACAGTTATAGTAGACCCATCTCAATTTCTGAGACTAGCATCCCTCTTCATGGGCAAAAACCCAGAACACATATTACATAAACAATTTCAAAACATCCCCTTGATACGTTCATTATTGTAACTCCTGCACTTCTTCCTATTCTGAGGCATCCAAAACACTTCTGTATGTATTAAAAGAGTCCCTCCAAATTGACTTGAATATAACTTTATGTGAAATTCTGCTAGCATTTTTGGTCAAGATGGCATACCCATTAAGAGTATCCACTGTCATACTGTCATGGAGCTAACTGGATATAAGAGCCTATTAAATAAACATATAGTGAATACATGATACTTTTGTTACAGGAATGTAGAGCTGGCATAAAGACAGAATCTCCTCATCTTTAAAACCCTGTTATAAATTCTTCTATTCGAGACTTAGAGCACTAAAGCAATTTGGCCTACTGCCAGTTATGATTTAACCTACCTTAAGGTTAGGATTCAACAAACTCCATCCCCCGGGAAGATGTGATCATAAAAATCCACATAATATTAGTATTTACCGTATCCATCAGTGACCTCATCTATACCCAACTCCAGAGTATTATTGTTTGTTTTTCATATCTTTTCCCCTTCCTTAACCCCAATACACTCCTACCAGAGCATTAAAGTGGCTACTGAATCAGCAAAACACAGCCAGTGGACCAGGAATTATTTTAAGTAATGAGCCAGAACATTTGTAGGTAGGTAGACAGGAAAATCCACACTGCCTCAAAGAGCCAGTAGGCATAAAATCAAGATCTTTGGGGGTTGCAGCTTAGCATCACATCCTTAACTATGATCTTCACTAAAAGGTAAAGGTAAAGATATTGCCCATTGACAAGTTGCGTCTAACTGTAGAGAGCGGTGCTCATCTCAGTTACTAAGCCGAAGAGCCAGCGTTGTCAGAGACTACTCTGTGATCCTGTGGCCAGCATGATTTCACAGAACACTGTTTACCTTCCCACCAAAGTGGTACCTATTTATCTACTTGCATTTGCGTGCTTTCAAACTGCTAGGTTGGCAGAAGCTGGGACTAGCGATGGGAGTTCACCCGATCACATAGCACATGGGCCTCAAACTGCCAACCTGCTGATCTTACAATCAACAGAATCAGCGTCTTAACCACTTGAGCCACTGCATCTTCACTACTTAGTTGTAAATGACAAAAAACTAATTTATTGCTATACCTACAAATATGAATTCACATTTCATTTCGTTTTAATTTTCAGATCTTCTAGAAAAGTAATCTTCCCCAGGTCTGCTCATTTTGCTATACCCTTTGGCAAATAACGTAAATCAATAATACAAAGGACACACCATATGTCACTCCATGCTTAAAATGCCCAAGATGACATCACATCTGGAAGGCATTTACTACCACAAGGTACATAGCATTATCCAGTTTGCCACAGCCATAGCCAGAAGGTTCATCTATAATGGACAATTTGGAAGGTCATTGTGAAACATCTCTACACCACTGTCAAAGATGCTTGTGGAGCATGTGAATTAGGGCCTTTGCAGACTGCCAGAAATAGTGCAAATTGAGTCCACTTTAACTGCCCTGGCTCAGTGCTAGGGAATCATGGGAACTGTAGTTTTTTCTGAGACATTGAACCTTCTCTGTCAGAGAGCTCTGGTGCCACAATAAACTACAGTTCCTATGATTCCCTAGCACTGAGTCAGGGCAGTTAAAGTGGACTCAATTTGCACTATTTCTGGCAGTCTGCAAAGGCAGATCCTCAGTCTTTCCAACTGTTTCATAAGGATTGGCAAGGTGGTAACATCAGAAGGCTGACTGCCATGAGGAATTAACAGAAGGGAGTGACCTAAATGTTGCATTCCCCTAATAATAATAATAATAATAATA